TCAATCGGTAACTTGATAAAAAAAAATAATAATAAATAAATTAAATTGAACAATGTTTTTGTTAGTTCCTGTGCAACTAGGAAACGAGACAAGTGCGTGAATGCACGGCTGTTTGGTTAATTTATATAGGGTACGTGAGCGCACGTATATTTTTACTACACCAACTGATTCTTCTTTTTGATAATACTTAATTTGAGAAGTTTGACGCAAAAAAACTACAGTTCTTATAAAAGAATATTTTTTCGCGAAGCGCCTTTCGGTAAATTAATTTTTTTTTTTTTTTCCATACAGTTGAATAAAAATGGCACATAGGAGGTATTTTAGTTAATAACATGTCAATAGGTATCTAGGCATGATTTTCACAAATTGAAATAATTTTCGATAAACGAAAGGGGAAAAAATGAAAATTCAAACCAATTTTGTATGAAGCTTGTATCGTTACTGTAAAGCCATTTTTATAAGACATAATAATTATATATGCTGTAATCATATGAACACTCGTACGTAGAAGCAAGTATGGCAAAAAAAAGTCAAAGTCACACATGCGATATTGGTATAAACATGTATATTATTATTTGATACCTTACTGGTAAATTTTTATTGTTATACCTCTTGAAATTCAATAAAGTGGATACTATCGGCTGCTCTTTAATATCGTGCACTACTTTTCTCTGTCACTCTCGTTCGATTCCGTGAAACTGAGTACTTATAATTATGCACAACCAGAAATTTGCGTTACAGTCGGGGCCAAAAGAAAGAAAAGAGGAAGGAGGGGATTGAGAGAAAAAAATTTTAATGGATTAAAAAGTCGTAAAGAGGCCGCTTTCCTGAGATGTATAAGTCACGTCCCATCGATCTAGCAAGTACAATAATACATGTTCATGTAAGTATAGCTCATAGCAAGCTTGCGCATATATTCTTCAATCAAGTTGTGCCAATATATCGATTATGCGTATTAGATGACAAGTGTTGAGTTGATAAAGTATTTGCTAAAGTGTTGGGAAAAAAAAAAAAAAAAAAAAAAAACGGCGCTCGTAAAAGAAAGTACACATTTAACGCTGGATGGATACTTACCCGGGCACGTAACAGTTGACAAACGACTGTCTCCGTGAACGTCGTGGCATCTCTTATATATTATTCAGCATCGCTGGGCTGAAGATACCGCCGTAACACGTGACCCGTGATGCCGGTGTCAAAGTTATCGAACAACTCGTGTGTCGCCCCCCCCCCGAGCC